GAATATACCAAAATAAAGTAAAAAATTAATTAAGTTCATAAGGACTTAATTGAATAAAATACAATTGTTGTTTCTATGGTTACAACTTAATTTGGCTATGTAAATATATTGTGTTAGCTACCTAAAGCTCTAAGCCTTCAGTCATTTCATAAAAATAAGAAAAGAAAAATAGTTTTCTTTATCTTACAGAAATAAGATTTGATAAGAACTTTTGATCTTTTTGTTGTAGAAACAAAACTTGCTAACACAAGTAAAATCCTACCGTTGAGAAGGTTTTATTTGGTCATTGTGTGGATTACTGTTAAAGGCCAAATACTTGGGTAACGAAAAATTTGACAAATCTTAAAGATGAAGAAGCAAACATTTCAACTATATGATTTCACACTAATTTGTTCTTTTTTCGAGTTACTTGCTTCATCACAAGCTTTTTGGATTTAATTGGTTCTTGATTATGATATCTAGAGTAAGGTATGTAACTTTTAAGCTTATGAGTGTTCATAATTAATTTAAAAATTACATGAAAGATACAAGCATTGATCCTGTAGAATTCGATTGTTTTTCTAATTAAATGCTAGTTTATTTTTTCACTGTGTTATATAATTAATTTCTTGATTAATTTTATGTTTGAGCATGAGATCGAATCCCAACAATTTCTTCAAATGGTTTTATTGCAATATACTTCTACAAATAGTTTTATTACAACATACATCTTCCAACATCATACTTCTCTTACCTATGGGCAAGCATAATTCAAACCTAACTTGGATTGCAAGTATACCAAGGCATATTAGGATTCTAAGAAATCCTAGAAATTTTTTTAAAATTTCAAGACTTGTCCACTTGCCTCATACAAAATCATATGTGAACAAGTTTTACGAGGGCATTTGTAAAAGGGAAAAAATTATCATCCAATTAAGTGCTGCCATGTGAACTCGATGATGTCATAACTATATAATTAACTATAAAATAATTAATATATTAGTTGGATTATTTCATAGACACATAGTTGAATCAATTCACTTATGTGTTATATATTTATCCCTTGAGATGAAGATAATATTTAAATTGGACCAATCAAAATTTAATTATTGATCATCCAATTTGTCTTTAAATAAATCAAGGTAATTTAGAGATAATTTCATATATCTAACCAATCAAAATTTAACTATTGGTCATTTAATTTATCTTTAATAATTATGATAATTTAGAGATAAAAAATCAAATTTGATTATTTGATTTATCTCTAAATAAATTTAGTGATAAAACTTAACTTTTGCCAATCAAAATTCAATGAGCAAAAGTCCATCCAATCAAAAGACTTTAAATGAGTCATCATAATTTATCTCTAATTAAATTAAAATAATTTAGAGATAATTTAAAGAGATTACATTCTCATCAAAGTTTCCCACCTAGCATCATAAATAAGGGGCTCTTCCAAGCCATTTGGATTTATTCAAAGGCATTCGAATATTCGAAGGTATTCAGAGATTCAGAGCATTTCAGAGATCAAGAAGAGTAGAAAATTTCTGAAGTGAAGTATCAAGTAGCAGTGAAGCTTGTGACCAAACGGCAATGAAGATCTAGCGAAGTTCGTGATCAAGCAGAAGCGAAGTTTGTGATTAAGCAGTATTGAAGTTCGTGATCAAGATACCAAGCAGCAGTGAGGTTGTGATCAAGATATCAAGTGTTCGTGATTAGATTAAGTCATGAAGACCCTTGAAACGAAGATATCAAGTGTTCGTGATCAAGTTAAATAGTGAAAACCATGAAGCTATTATATCAAATAAAATTTACGATCAAGATCAAGTTATGAAGACCCTCGAAGCCAAGATATCAAGTTTAGTTCGTGATCAAAATTAAGTCTGAGTTTGTGACTCTTGAAGACGAAATGAAGAAATTAATTAGAAGAATTTTCAAAGATTATAACTCACATCAAATATTTGTATTTGTTTCATTATTTTTCAAGTCAAGAAATTTCAACGAGAAATTTATGTGTATTCAGCCAAAAATCTTTCCAACAAGTTGCAACTTAAGAAAAAACTATATCACTTAAAGATGGAGGAGAATAAAGATCTCATGAAGCATATGAACGAATTTGACGAGATCATTGATTAATTGAAAGATGTTAACGTTAAGGTGGAGGAAAGAAAGCATTTTTGTTCCTTGCATCGTTTTGGATTGTGGAATCTCTGATTTACAGAGCGTTAATGTCTAGTGAAGGAGATAGAGATTTAGTTGACTCAACATTGTTGGTCAAGATTCAAAAAAGTAAGTTAACAAGCATGGGATCTAAGGGTGGCAAGTTTAGATCTAGTAGTATTCAGTGTTTTCAATACAAAAGGTGTGGATATATTTGAAGGGATTATCTTACAAAAAAAGTGAAAGTAACAAGAATGAAAGTGAATGTGTTTTCGTTACTAACGTTGATGATTGTGTCATCTTAACAATCTCAGAAGATATGTATGCAAATTCTTATTGGTATTTAGATTCTACTTGTGTCACTCACGTAGACTATGAAAAGGATTATTTTAATTTGCTTCAAGAATGAATGGTTGGGAATTTGACTTTGGGTGATAAGTTAATAGCGAAGGTCATAGGTCTTAAAATGGTGAAAATTAAAATGTTTGATAAGGTTGTGTTTTCTTTGGGTCATGTGGCCTATGCCCGAAATATGTGTAAGCATCTAATATCATTAAGCCTATTAAACTCCAAAAGGTATAGATTTTCAACCTATGGAGGAATGGTAAAAGTCACACAAGGTGACATGGTTCTGGTGGGAGGAATTCATATAATGGTTTGTATTGTCTAAAATATGAAACCTTGAAAGGATAGGAACAATGCACAAAAGATAATAGCTACCCAAGTGAAATGAGATTTTATTTGACGATTGTGAAAGGATGAAAAATCTTATTGATGAATTGGAAGGGTTGTCGAGGTCCCTTTCGAAGTCAATTAACGTTATTAATTTGACAACTACACAAGTGCATTGGTCATTTTTGCAAGTGAGTGTTGGACTGTACTTGATTCAGTATGTGTAGTCAGGGTAATCTTGAAGGTCAATGGTTTGGAAAGTCTTGTGCTTAGGAAGTTATTCAGGGTGTTGGAAAGTAGGTGGAGTTGGAGAATTGCAATTAGGTGCGGCTGATGGAAGAGGTTTAAGGAGTTTGAATTCAAGTCGAAGGTGAAAATTTGTTGAGTTTTAGGTTGACTAGAATTCTAAATCTTATTTTAGTAGGATTATTGTTTGTGTACAATGTTAAGTGGTTGTATGATTTTAAATTTCTTATTCCACATTAAGTCCTGAACTTATTCTACTCTGAACTTTTATATAAAAGTGGGTCTTTAGTCATTTGAAAAGGTAGTAGTGCTTTGAGAGCCATAAAGAGAGAATACATTATAACTTTGTTTTTTGCTCTAGGTGGCACTAAAGTGGTATGGATGAGTGGTTGGAGGCTATTGAGAGAAGATGTACAAGAAATCTTAGGTTACTTTGGAAAACCATTAAAGTTAATTTTATTATACTTTAATTTCTCAATAATAGAAAAACTATTTCACTTCGTAAACTTAAGCAAGAGGCCTAGCTGTCAAAATTTTTATAATTTTTTTGTTTTCTTGATTTTTCTAAATTTTATCTTTATTATTTCTTAGGTGACTTTCATAACACAATGCATGGAAGTCAACCACCAACTACATAACACTTAACCTAGCAAGTGCACTGCATGTAAGCACATAAGCTAGTGCGCAGGAAGGCGCCATTCTCATTGGAAAGGAAAGCTTTTCGCAATTATAAACTACATATAATCAAGGAAACAAGATAACATTGACGGTACCGGGATATGCTGATAGTAAATTAACACAATACATCAACCTGGGTTAAATGTGAACAACTATGATCATTAATTGGTTTACTAAGTATTATCAACCTGCACTGCAAGAGTTCAAAAACTCCAAGAGTCCGGTAAATCCATGAACAACAAAGGGCTTTGACATGGCAACTCCACAACGTTAGACATGGGAATGCATTTATTATGTACATACTCATAGAATGTCGAAGAATATATTAATACCAACTTATCAGTTTCTATTTTGTAAGAGAAAACCCTCTTTGCATTCAAAGGAACACTTGCACACTTGCACTGGCATCCAAATGGCTTTTGACCAGAAGTACTGGCCATTGAACACGTCAGCTGTCGCTGATGTAACTGTCCTATGTGTCATAGACCCTATAAAGGAGGTAACCAAAGTAATTTGTTCAAACATGGGTTAGCTATTGCCATTATAGGCAAAGCCAATATCTCTGTATTTCCAGCCTGCAAGGCAAAGCACAAAAAAGCAAAGATATCTAGCTTATAAATAGTGATTATACTTTGTTTAGAAATCATATTTTTAATCAATTTTTTACACATTATCGATCTTCTCATTAAATTTTATCAATCTATCAATTTTGATTTTCAAACTTGATTTTCATTTAACCATACTGAAGAGAAAATTAACCTTATGAATTGATTTAAAAAATTTTGTTTAAGATTGCTCATAATAATATTTTACAATGAATAAAAACTTCAAATTCAAATCAAAATTATTTCTATATCATAAATCATAATACACTAGATAACTTTATATTTTTCAAGTGTAACCCTATATGATATTGGATTTGAGTGTTCGATTTAATAATAAATATATGTATTTTTTTATTTAAAGAGTCAATTGAGAGATCATCTTTGGACAAATTTATATTTGATAAAAAGAATATATATTTAAAAAGAAAAAGAAAAAGAAAACGTATTCTAAACTTTGCCCTACAAAATCGAATATAATAGCATTAGCCAAATTTGTTCTCCCTAAATATGGAAGACAAGGAAAAGAAACAACGTCCGCAGCATAAAGAAAGCAGATGCATGTATGGTTTTCCTGAGTCGGCACAGGGTGTTGAACCCGTGTATTACGTTGATGCCGTTCCATTCTTGTCCAAATTCAGCATTATATAAGTCTCTCCCACTCCCTCCGCAGTTGTGGGGTGTTTCTCTATGATCAAATCCTAGAGAACAATTGCATTCTCGGCATACTAATTTCTTCTTGTTCTCCCTCGTAACACCTCGAAGAAATCTAACTCCAACCAAATAATAAACAAAAAAATGGCACGCCAGATCCTTGTTCTTGCATTGGTCTTTATTGCCCTTGTTGGGTTGGCTTCGGCTGGTCAAGCCTCCTCCGACAGCAAGGGAGGCGCCGAGGCCGCTGCACCTGTCAATGATGATACCATTGGCAACACTGATGAAGCAAGTGCACCAACTACTGGTGGTGATGAGGCTGCTGCGGCTGTTGAAGGCCCTGTTGGCAGTGAGGATGCAGCAAAAAATGCTGCTGCTGCTCAGCCTCCTAGCAGTGGTGCAACCACCCTTGGGGTCTCTGCTGTCGCTGGAGCTGCTGCGGTTGCCGGCTACTTGGTCTTCTAAATTAGTTTCGCTTAATGCTACAACTTTTCTAGTTTTGGTCTGAGAAAAGCTGTCTTATTATTATTCGTTCGTCTATTTCACATTGTTTGTACCACAATTTGAGGTTTGCACAAGGCTGGTTGAATTTGTTATGAATAAAGGAATGCATTTTAAGCAGAATCTTTGCATATACGCTGCTTGTGTCCATTCGTTCGTTCAAATCTTTTATCTTCCATCACAATATCCATGGCATATCATGTGAAATATATATACTTCTTTTTTAACTTCCCAAGCTAATACTATAATGAAATGAACAACCCTATTTAAGGTTTACTGAATGTATGGTGATAAAATTGGTGAAAAGAACAAAGCATTTGGATGTTGTTAGAATTGCACCAGATAATGACGAGAAACGAAAACAAAGAGGCAAACCACATATGATACAACTTATTAAGATGAATTGAGGTCCGAGAAAAAATCTTAAAATTGAGTTATGGATTTTCATTTGTGTAACCAAAAAGCAGGCAACCAAAGAAAATAAAATCTAATTGCAATAGCGGATGATGCCTATCGGCCATTGGCAAAACTATTCTGCGGTTAAGAGAGCATACGCATTCTATGTTAATCATACCAGAATTTACGCAATCACATGGTTAATATGGCTCTTTAGAAACGATGTGGTGTTTGAGGGCAACATTCGGAACACTAATCAGGCTGTTGAAATAACCAAGTTGCAAGTTGCTATGTGGATCAAAGCAAAATGACTAAACAATTATGGTGATATCATAGACACATATAGGAACCCCTCACTAGGTACAGCACTGTTTAAAAACAAGAAAAGCAGAGAAGTGGAGAAGTGAATTAAGCAAGAAAAATGAGAGACGAAATTTAATGTTGATGGAGCAGCAAAATGAAGTTCCGGAGAAGTTGGAACAGGGGAGGTCATGAGGGATGAAAACAGCCAAGTTAGAATCTTAATTTCAAAACCAATTGGGGCGGGTGATGTGAACTTGACAGAAATAAGAGCGATGAGAGAGGCTTTCTTCTTGTTCATTGCTTTAAAATAATGTCAAACTCAACTCTCTCATCATACAGAGTGACTCAAGGAACGTGGTAAAATGGGTTAATCAACCAAACGAAAAGCCACGGAAATTGAGCGAAAGGTTACTCCATATTGAGAGACTTAAAACAGATGTTAATGGCTGGAAGGTCAACCACACTTTTAGAGAAAACAACCAGACAGCAGATAGGCTGTTGAAGGCCGGGGTGCAACGGGACGAGGACCTCATCAGAGTTCTGGAATAATCTGAGAAAGCAACTAACAGCGCACAGACCTGTTTTTCACAGAGCTTTCAATGAGCAAAGGGTCCTTTCTGAGTGCTGGAGTGAATCTGGTATATTTTCATTTTCCTTCTATGGCTCGGTGTCAGCAATGATGAATCAGCTGAACGTTGGACTTGTATAGTTGAGAGACTTGGACGTCTGTCTTGTGGAGGATGTTACGCTGGGTGATTTTTGCAAATTGGTCAACTGCTGCTGATGAGGCTTTCTCTTTTCAGAGAGGAGGGTCTTCCTGCTTTTTGTTTTTGTGTTCTCTATGTTGGGCAAGCTGACGCCTTGTGAAATGTCAGGACTGAATTTTTGTTAATTGGGAAAGGGAGGTGAGGTGAATGCGTCATGTAGTTGGGACGATTCCTAGAGGTCCTGGTCTTTTGTATAGTCTTTTAGGTGATGACTTTTGGAGGTGATTCTGAGCTGTTACTCTCAACTTCAGAGAGCAACAGACATGAATCTTCTTGTACTCTTTCCAGAGTTGAAAGTTTACTTCCCTCTGTTTCAATATATCATGAAATTTCAACAGCAAGAGACTTGGATGAAATTCAAAGTACATCCAAAAATTTGCAATGCAACATATCAAATTAGATAGATTAAATCCCAGCCAAGTCCAAGCAATCCAGATTTAGTCAGAGTCAGAGCTAGTTTTGGAAGAAATTCGATAATCACATAGAAACAAGAAGACAGGAGGTGCAGAAACTTAAAACCATATCACTAAGGAGAGGGCGGAGCAGCACTGTTACAGAAAGGACCAATTGCACCAACCTTATGTTTCTCCTGCCAGATTTTATAACAAAGTCGTATACAATCAAAATCCAATTTCCCACAACCATAACACCAGATGCATTAACTTACAAGAATTGAAATCATTACATAGAACAATGATAAAAAAAATACACAAATAAATGAAAAGAAACATGAAGAGACCACATTTTGAAGTTGCCAAGAGATAACATACTGGAACTTTTACAGCCTTCCTCATCAGCCCATTGCCACTCATCATCAGAAGTAATGGTGGAGCCTAACTGTCTAAAAACACCTTCAAGAATGATTCGTTGCTCCTCAAATACAAATAGTATTAAGAAGATAAAACACCAGTAGATCGAATACACATCATATGCTACATCAGTTTTCATAAGAAGCAAAAAGACAGGAAAGCTTGATCTATACAAGAGGTGATCATTACAATAATACATTAAAAATGGCCTTTTCAAGCTTAACTCCAAAATACATATGACTAATACATCATCAGCCCTCCAAACAGAACCCAAATCAACCCAAAATTCTCAGCCCAGCACATAGAGAATGCAGCAGCAAGACATAAATTTGTCACTCCTAAGCTTGAAGCATAACAACAAAAAACTCCACAATCATTCACAATTGATGGAAATAAAATGCTTAAACAGAAACTGAGTACATATGTTACATTGACCAGTTACAGTTGGAACATCAACCCCATGTTACAATTTGCATCTAGCTCATCTATCCTATTCTTAAGACAAAGTTAACAGTATCAATTACAAGTATATAAAGTATAACAAGAATCAGCCTCAATTTCTGTACAAGACTCCCATAAAGCTTATTAAAAGCCAAATATGGCCATATAAACAATGAAGGAGGCCGTTACAAAATTGTGGACCTAATAAACAGATTCAACTTTACAAGACAAAACGCTTTAGAGGAAGACCATAATGTAAGTATTGGTTGTATCCTGAAACATATCACCAACATCCACTTCATGAATTCAGTTGGATTTACTTTCTTTCCAGAGGTTACAGTTTCTTAGCAGTGCTCAAAAAAAAGATTTTTTTGCACACTTGAAATGCCAAAGCAAATATCAGAGGAAGCCAATGAAGCCAGCCATTCTAACACATCTTCCTCAACAAAGAGTTGCCCACTCCACTCCCTGGATGCGATGATAAAAAGAAACCCCCATATCAATAGACATTAAAGAGGAAAAGAAGATCAAGCCAAAGACACCACCCCAAAGTCTACCCACATAATCACTAACAGTATGTTAGAAAGAACATCACATCACATCATATTTTAATAGCAAAAAAAGCCCAATGCTACTAGAAGCCCTATAGGCATGACACCCGTCTCTAGGAGACAATCAGTTTGGCTAGATGATGAGTACATTGGCGTATACAAGTTCACACTGAATATGAGTAAACAAACCTCTTTAAAAATTGGGCACTATGACGGGAAATTATAGTATTCTGGGTAAAACATTGTTTTGAAGCTGGCTCTATTTCTGAGGATTGTTTCAAAGTTTCAATGTGTCATACAGTTCAAAACTTCAGTGCAGTACATCACTCGAGAAAGATTAGGAAACTAACAAATGAAAAGCAAGGAAAAAAGGATCAGAGTAGAAAGAAAAAAAAAAGTAGACTCTAGGCAACCCTGCATTCTTTTAGTACTTTAACACTATACCTTTTCGGCTGAACAGTCACAAATATCCACGAGACTGGATTGCAACATTTATTACAGACAAACTAACTCTCCCATAAAGTCTAAGAAGGAGAACCTAGAAGCCTGGAGTCAAGCCATAAAGAAAGGATAATAATACCTGCTCCTCTTTACTGGCACAATACCGCTATATATAAACGAAAGGCACATTTAAATCGTAGAATGAACATTATTTGGCTCTAGGATCGCATACAAGCATACATGAAGTTCCAAAACTCTTAACAAAACAAAAAAAACTTGATGAGGGAAAGGTCAATTGAATGACTTCGTATGGGAAAAAAGTACTACATGCTAGTAAATCTACAACTATCTCACATATAGAACAACATACAAAAAGTCAAGTTTCAAACATTTGACAGAGGTAAAGGACAAACATATAATGGCTTCGATAATGTATAATGCATATCACGAGATATTCAGCTACACACATTATTCAAAAAAAAATTGATCCTTAGTTGAAAAGCAAGTGGAATGCATATAAGAAAGGAATGCATTAAAAAACAAGTGAGGAAGAAAGTAACCAGAGAACATCATGATACAAAATTGAAGCAGCAAGATAAAAGTTAAAAAACAAAAAACGAAGAAGAAGAAGAAGAGAGAGAGATGAACTTCATTTTCCCACCATCATCTAGCAGTATCTAAAGGTTTAAGCCGAGCAAACTCCCTGACCTATGAACCCTCCCCGCTTTCAACCCCAAGAAAGAAATGTACAAAAAGATCACATGCTAGAAAGATTTCTTATCAACCAAGATCACAATCATATGACAACAAGATTTCTAACACATAATATCCCAACAATCATTTAAACAAGAAGATTTTCAAAAGTACCATGATCACAAGCCATGAAAGCATTGCCTCAAATATAGGGTTTGGCAGATAAATTATAAACCCAATATGGATAGTCAGCTGTGGGATGTAAGGATTACAACCCCACAAAAAGTATCCACATTGAATATGATACTATGTTTTTCAACACAGGAATAATAAGTGTTGCATCTAATATTTGTTCTTTGGAATGCAGTAAGAAAGGAAAGGGGAGTCTATCCTTCCCCTCCACCCACAGAAGTAGCACTTACTTCATCCCTTAAGAAGCCACACTCTGCATATGGACCAGCGATCATCACAGCGGGTGCTAAAATATATTTAGCAACCAAGGGGAGAGAAACTGAGAGTGAAAACTTAATTAAAGGTCTCATAAGAAACGATAAAGAAGAACGCATAGCATATTTTGTCATTCTGATGGCAGGCTGTCTCTCTTCCCAAGTCCACATCCCTTGATCGAGACCTGTGCTCTTCTTCTGGCATTGCATGGGACCTTCTCCGAGATCTTGCAGAAGATTGTCCCTATCCCAGTCATCATCATAATCCAAGTCACGTTCTCGATGTCGATGCTCTCTGTAGCTGTCTTTTTCTTCCCTATAGCGGTGTTCCCTATGCTCCCTCTCAGACCTGTCCCAGTCCCGTTCCTTCTCATCACGATGCCTCCTATCAGAGTTGCCTGACCACTCACGCTCAGAAACCCTTCTTTTTCCCGAGAGGCACCACTCGACCTTCCTTTTTCATGATTTGCGTCTCGTACCCATGCTCTGAAGCACCATCTTCACCGCCATAACTAGACTCTCTAGTCCTGCGACCATGTTCATCCTCCCCACCCACCCATGCTTGTGTCAGTCCACATTCCCGCATGAGGTCCATCCATTCCAGATGCACCCATCATTTCCATCCCATTAGGTGCCATTCCACGGCCAAGAAAGCAGGATGACATGAGGAGCTACACCAGCAAGTCCCATTGTATTAACAGCTGGAAATGAAGGAAGCATGCCAGGAAAACCAGGTCCTGGAAAACCTCCATAACCACCCTCGCCCCATATATGTTGGGTCAAACCCAGCTCCCATATGCCCTGTGGATGCATCATGCCACCTGCAGGACCACCAAATGCAGGACCTGGTCCTTGTCCATAGGCCCCTGCACCATTAGCACCATTTCCAACTCCAGCTGAGATCCCAACCATGTTCTTATACACTACACCTCCCCTCCTCTCATTAGTCCTCCACCCCCAGCTCGGTTGACAACTCCTTGACCACCCCGTCCCCAGCCGCCCCTTCCGTAGTTCCTCCCTCCATCTCCACTTTGGTAATTCGGATTACCCCCTCTCCCCAAACCTTCATTTGGCCTCCTGCTTTGAGGCTGTGCTTGAGACTGGCCCTGGTTTTTGTTCATATAGGAGGCTCCCATCTGCTTCAGTGTCTGTGGTGAAGCAAAAGCCACAACACAAGCTCTCCCATTGAACATATAGCCATTCAGTCCCCCTTTGCATGCAGCTGCAAGAAGCTGGATCATAGAACTCAACTGACAATACCCTTTGGATTTACCACTAGCTTTCTCATCAAAGAACTTAATCTCCTTCAACCTTCCATATTGAGATAAAACACTCTCAAGCTCTGCATCAGTTGTCCACCAATGGAGTTCTCCAACAAACAGCATGGTTGGACCATTCTCTATAGGTGGCTGAACCTGATTTTCGTTCATCACAGGATGATTAACATTCGTACCCATTTGATTTGGTGGAACATGTGGAGGACCTTGAGGACCACCAGTACCTGAATTTAGAGATTGAGCAGGGTCATTGGCAATCTTTTGAGGCACACTAGAAGGATCAATCCCAACCTTGTTGGGTGCTGAAGTCAATCCTTGAAAACCCAAATTTTTCACTTGCTTATCATGGGTCCCCTCCATAACACTGCCCCTCTGTGAAATAGAAGACCCAGATGAATAACTACCAGATCCCATTTCTGGTCTGTTAACAGCTGGCTGCTCCTGCTCAGGATAACGGGCACTGACATTGGGGTACTTCCCTTGAACTGAAACTCCTGGAATGTTTAGCCCTTGTGAACCCCCAGCTTCAACTCTCAGTTCAGGAGCCTCATTTTTCAGAGCTTGAAGTCCAGTACTGCCGAGGCCACCTGGTTGTGGTGGTGCCTCAGATCGTTTCAACTGAAGAAAGCCTTCTCCAACATTAACATCATTGTAGAGATCATCATATTCATCATCTTCCCCCATCATCTCTTCATCAGCAAGAGCAGGTATGGCTCCACTTCCCTGATACTGCATCTTTTGTCCCCCTCCATACTCCTCATCTCCGAAATCTATTTGTTCTTCAGCCATTGCATCCATAAAACCTGACCAATACACACCAAAAGAGAAAAGGTGATTGCTATCTCCACCCGTATGAAAAAAAAGGCACCACAAAGAAAAAAGTAACTGTAAATCTAGATCAATTATGTCCAGAATGCATGCATTCCAGTACAGATGTAATGAAGCATTCAAACTCCAGTAAGGATCATTTTTGGTGCCTATGTACAGTAACCAAAGCTCTTAAGCATACTGAAAACAAGAAAATCAAAAATAATTAAACTGCAAGTAAAAGAAAAAACAGCACTGAGATGCAAAAAGAAAGAGATCTCCCAGCTAGACATCAAACAAAGGATTAAAATTCCCATAATAAACACGATAGAAAAGGCATCAATATGTAGAATTTACCAACATGTTTTATCAAAATAATAGATACATGCCTTGCCTACTTCATCAAATCATAGAAACCAAACAGACGCACGAGGTACATCTAAAACACCCAACTTGATGAATCCAGAGAAAAAAAAAAACAAACACCCAAGTCGTAGAATGTCATAAAACAGATAAATTTCGATTACCCAGTTCTTCAACTCAAAGGAACAAACAATGATAGAAAACCAAAAAGGAAAACAGTTGCAAAACCAGTTAAGGAAAACGGTAAATTTACGAAGACCCACCAGCAATTAACTTTGGAACATTGCAGAAAAAATAGAAACAAGGATATCCAGAGCTTAGAAATACCAGCAGAAAAACGCAAGATAATAATACCCAAGGAAATCAGGATATAAGAGCTATATAATCGTTTATAATTACATTATGGTTGAATGTTTTATCTTACTCCTCCTCTTCTGCTTTGTCTTTGTTGTTTAGCTTACCCTAGGTCAGGTAAAGCTGGGTTCACCTTTGTCTCTCGACTTTCGGTTTTGTTTTTTCAATTAAATTTTCATTTTGATCCATGTCGCTATTACTGTTACAATTTAGAACAGGTTTGACTTGCCAATGATATAGAATGAGAATGATGACCATGAATATTAATATGATTTTTATTATAATTTCTTTTTTTTTTCTATTTTCATTTGTTTCTCTTATAACTTCCTTTTTAATAAAATATAAAAAATAATATTTTATATGAAAGGGTTTGTAATTTCACATGATAAACATGATTATTTTTACTTATAACTATTTGAGCTTGGAATAATTAATACCAAAAAGGGGAATATCAATTATTCTATGCTTTTAAAGAATGATCATTCCTAATAATAGATCTTTTTTATATAAAAGAAACAAATCAAGTAATAAGATAAGACCTAGGAATAATGGGGTATTTCTCAATCAAACATGCCTTTAGGTTCATATTTGATGCAGTGACATTCACTGACATTGTATATATTGTCAAGTCATTAAATACAATAAAATATAATATATTTTTTTTGAAAATATACATGTAATACTAAAATAATTTTAAGTTAAATTAGTACTTTAAGTTAATTAATTTGACAAATTTCTTACCTCTTTCTTTTATTAGTCAAACCTGGCTCTAAGTTGAATAATTTATGGTTAGTGGGGTTAATCTCCACAATAAAAAAATGATTGTTATCTTAATACTTAAACTTGTAGACTGTAGTTTGTAGTGATAGTTTTACCATTACAAAATGTTCTTTATTTGAATTGATCTGTTTGTTTTTGTTAGAATTTTCGTGTTTTTATTTTTTCTAAGAAAAAAACTGTGAGAGGAGCATTCTTTATTTAATTTATTTTTAATATAAAAAGGAATTACTTACACATTTAATATTTAATTATAATAAAATTGTTGATTTTGTACTTGAAAAAAAACATAAATTTTCAGTTAAGCATTCTAATTTTTATTGCCAAATTGCATGTCTCGTTAATTTCATTAATCCAATTAAATGGTTAGAAAAAAAATAAAAAAACACGTATTTTTGTTGATTATTCTTTATCACATCATTTATTTGATTAATGAAGTAAATCATAAGTGTCAGCAATGAAAGTAAAATTTTAAAACTTAATTCTTAACTTTTAGACTTTAGATGTAAAATCCAATATATAATTATAATTGAAAAATAAAAAATGTAATTAATTAGAAAACAAGAGTTTATTATGATTATTATTATTATTATTATTATTATTATTATTATTTTGACAAGAGAGTAAGTGTACTAATTAATCATAAATTTGCTTGAAGCCTTGGAGCAATATATTGTATCCTCAGGCTAAAAAAACAAGTGATGAGAACTGATAGCTTTTGAGTGCAGAAACTTATGAGTACGTGGTAACAACATTTTGTCTTTTCACCTTTGATTTAAAGATTTAGCATCTTTAATTTCAATTGAATGCAGCCACCACCTCCCTCTCAAAACAAGGTTCATGTTTAGCATGCCAAAATGTCAGTAACTTAAAAAAATCAATTAAGGAAAGAATATATCCCATACAAAAAGAACATCATAATTGTTGCAAAATGTACTGAAACCATATGTGAAATTTTGCTATCTTGATCAATATTACACAAAAGATTAATAACAATTACAGAATATCACAAAAACAAATTTCTAACTCAATTGGTACCCCAATCTTGCTTTCTAACAGAGAATGTACTGGTGGACCAAAGACTCAGAATCACCACCGGGTTTGCTGCTGCCACCAAAACACAACCAACCACCCTACTCTGGCCCACCCCAAAATGAGAAAAAAAAAATTTATGTAAAACCCCTATTACATCCTAAGTAAGCTGAACATTAAAAATGCAATTCAGCTCAGCAGATTCTTTTCCAACTGTTTGATATTCCATCTGTTCCATAAGTGTTGGCAGGACCTGCTGGCAACAAATTTGACTGCATTCTACGGGCTGCTGTGAGGGCGACCCTTGGCTCCTAATTAAAGAATGAATGTAAGAACTTTCCTTGTTTAACCATTGAAATTGAGACTGGCTACCATGTTTTACACCACCTTTTACAACCAATACACATGAGCACCAAGCACAGATGGAACAAGAGATGTGAACTGATGTTGATGATGGAAGTGGAAATACCAAGTCATCCGATTGAGCATCATCGATGATTATTTTTTCAATAATCAGCTGAAAAGTGGATATTTGCCTCAGTACATCCCCTTAAATACAGGATTTGTGCGGCAAATGCTCGCTCCATATTCCTCATATTCTGCTTTTGTATGACATGCCTGCACAGGAAGGAGGTCAGGAGACTTTCAGCCCAAATCCAAATTTTAGTGCATAAGATTAAGATTGATGCACAAGGCAATACTAATGGCAAGCATGTCAGACAACTAACATATCAACCAAAGCAAGAACAATAGCCAACTATAAATGCCATATTCAACGTCATTCAGGAGCCCGTATAGAAACAAGAGTGAAAGATGAGTTTACAAGTGGAGATTCATACCGCAAAAAATTCAGGTGTTGAGGCAAGTACAGAACCTCCAAACCAAACTGCAAATCTTTGGATAGGATGACTGACTACATTAACTTCCACAGGTTGTGCCTGGAAGGTGAAGACACAAAAGGAGATTAGCAGTTAGGTTTTGTAAAATGTTAAATAGGATAAGCACACATGTTTAGCACTAAAATTCTTACTTTTACTTCCCCACCAAGCCGAGCATCAGATGCAAGAACTCGGGCATCCACAATCTTTTTCAGATCCCGCTGCAACCTTCTGTGAAAGTCCTTGAACATGGTTGATCCACCAGATAACACTATATTCTGAAAAGAGTTAAAATTGTAAATAAGGAGCATACAAAGTTCTGAGATAAATATATGGCAAATCATGTGAAGATTTCCTTTTTCTCTACTCAATTCATTCATCAGTCTATGTATTTAATTGCAAGCTTCCTTCACTTTTTGGTCATTATCAAGAATGTAACCTAAAATAAGCACAGCCAAGCATCAATATCTTGGAACTAGACTAAGATCTTTTTGCAGTAAAAGAATAGGAATCAAAAGCTATGACTTTAAAAACATAAATTAGCATCAGACAGGTCTGAGAAAACAGATTCTAATCAGCTCATTAATACAGAAGAAGAGAAATTAATGCAAGAGTTTATAGTACCACAACCCACATCTCCAAGAACTTTATCCTTGAAAAATTAAATTATAAACTGACAGTTGATCTCAGAAACCATCAGGAAACAAAGTGCATGAGTAGCAGTTGAATCCTTAATCAGTACATCTCAACCTTCAAATATAACACTTTCTTATTGTTTCATTTAGATTTATCTGGGCTAAGAACCAAAATTGGCAATTTGCTTTTCTTTAAGCCAATGCATACTTTCACCTTATACAAAGCTCTTCTTGTGTCAATTGGTGCTGACTGAATGCACTTATCTATTACAGCTGGTAAAGGAGTGGTAAAATCACTGCTATAGATCTCAGGACTAAAGAAAACCTGCCAAACCAACCGTTACAAAACATCAGCAACAAGCAATATTTGAGAACTGACTCATAAGCAGCAAAGTTAACCACTGTTTTATTTCTTGATAAACAAAGTGTATCATCAACTAACTAGTTGCATCACTAAAGTAGATAAATGTCAAAGCACGCCAATTAAGATATGTAAACAGCACTCATAAATCAAGAAAACTTACATACCCTCCGCTCCATATGGTACAATTATGTTTCTGTTGACAGAAATTGACTTTAATTATTCAAGAAAGTATACTTTGTTTGTAGCTGGTCCACACAAACATTTTGTTGGCAAGGGCATGGGTAGGGCACTCTCAATATTCTTTCATATTAAGAGAAGATTTTACGATAAGTGGATCAGAGAAAGGGCAGGAGGAATGTGCTATTTGAGAAATAAAGAGTTGACATGAATTGTAGCTGCAAGGCAACTGAGCCTCCAGAGCAAACATAGCTTGATTATTGACAATAAGGAAAAGGATGATCAAACATCTTAGTAATTAGATCCTGATGAACGGGAAAACCATTGCTTGCATGTTATGAGATTGATAAGTACATTAATATAAGGGAAAGATATTCATAAGGCAGTCAAGAGACCAACCATTTGAAATAGTTAGTTAATCAGTGTCCTTAACGTGCTGCCCATCAAACATGTTACTCTAGCATTAATCATCCTAGACTAACCCCAAGCCCCAAATAAATAATTATTAAATATAAAGAAATGCCAAAAGTTTCTGTAAGCTTAAACTTAAACAATGAGTTTGCAAGGAAAAAGAGGACAAACCTCTGGGCCTAAAAATCGTTCATAACCAATATCACAGGAGTATGGTGCCCCTGTCTTTGGTCTAATACCTCTCCATTGTTTGATGTACTTTGCAGGTTCTTTGTCATGCTTGTTGAACTCCTAAGATAAATACAAAAATGAGTTCTTATCAAATTACCATTGGAATGACAGAACTTGTGAACTTCAATACAGTATCTCATGCTAAGTAAGAATCATGCGATGAATAGTCGTGCCAAAAATTTCCAAAATCATAATACAGGGAAAGCAAAAATAACCTTGACAATATCAGAACAAGTATAGCAGTACATCTCCTTCACTTTTCGAGCTGCTTCAAATGAGTCCTCTGGTGGAATTTTCTCTCCTCTTTCCTGCAAATAACAGTGTCAAAAGGCAAGAATTGATGATCACTAAATAATGATTTTACAATCTCCATATCCACAAATCTAGATAACAGCTATTTAAAGAGGAAACATTTAATTCCAATGTTTAGGGGCATTTACAAGCAAAGCCAAAGAAAAATAATAGAATACAAAAGGTCCAGATGTTAGAAAGAAATGCAGAAAGATGCTTTAATTTAGCTTGCCTCCAGAAAACAGCTCTTTCTATCTAATTAATGCCAGCATTTTTTCAAATGGCAACAAATTCAAAACAATAAACGGCACAGACATAAAATAGCATTGAGTTTCCTCCAAAAAGATGCTGCCAGCCCAAATAACAATAGGAAGGATGCATGATACTGTCACAAAAGGAGGCTGGGTGTTTGAAAGCACAGTGTATAAAAAGAAAGTCCATAAATATATAAATCCAACCATACATAAGGGTGAGGCTACAGAGAGTGGAGAAGTTTCACATGATGATATAATAACAACTGTAAGTACCAGAAAATTAAAAAAACAGCAATACACTGCTACCAAAGCGCTACACAAACAGTTTCTGAAAAATGGAAGCACAAACTAATCTATTGTTAATCGGTAGAGAGTCAAGAAAAAAAAATACCCGCATTAGCTGCTGTATGAAGAGAGTGACATCTTTTCCAGCAATTGGTATTGATTTAATGCTGCTCCCAATAACATAACCGTCTGCAACAGGTACAACATGTGTAGCCCCATCTCCAACATCCACTACCACCCCTGTCATCTCACACTATGGAAAACTGTAGGTCAATCTAAATGGAAGTGGTTGATATACACTGATGATTAACAAGACAAAACAAAGCACAAAATTTAGGGTATAAAGAAAAACACAAGATAGGCAGGTTTTCCAAACTCTACAACATTGAAGTCTGAGACCCCATTACTATACGTGTAAATACTGCCACAGCTGATGCCCGTGTGATTAGCAACAGGTATACGCCTTCATCACAACCCTCTCAAATAATTAAAGACATCAAAACAGTAATGGTAGGCACCATGTGCATTAACATTTAAATGAATACAAAAGCAGAAACAATTTAGAAAGCGGCAGAGAATTTTAAACTCAAAACAGCCTCCTCCAAGCTAATGTATTATAAATGTAAATACTAACTAGATTGGTCTGAACCTGTCATCTTTCAGCACATAACCATTGATCATAAAATTACTCCGGGAGTGTCTATTCATAACAAATTCTTAGATTCAACGACACCATAGGTCACTATTCTATATCCTTAAAGCAAACTCAAAACACTGGATTAAGAAAACACGTAGTTGAGCCATTTTTTCCAGGACAGTAATAACAAAATAATCAATCACAGAATGGCTTTATATCAATTGTTAATTGGCTGTTGAATGATAACCATGCTAGAACCATCATTCCCACTAACAATTCAACGTTAAAAGGTTTAGTTTACAAATACAAATAAGAACAATCGGGGAGAATCAAGGACAATAAACTGATTTATATAACATAATACTAGTAAAAAATTGACCAAGACATATAAAACCAGAAAACAATAGAATACTTCAGAAAAGTAGTTACCAACCTTAGATGTAGTGTACCCAGCTGCTAAAGCAAGCACAGAATTCACAGCAATGTAAAGCCCCGGAACATTAAACGTCTCAAACATAATTTCACCAGCATACTCTCGACTCTCGGGAGCAGTAAGCGGACTCTCAGTCAACAAAAAGTAATGATCCTCAGGATCACACCGTAAATAATTGAAAATACATTGCTGCCAATACCGTTCCATAGCATCCCAATTATCAACTTGACCATGCCTAATAGGATAGGTAAGATTATAAGTATTACTAGCTCGCGATCTCGCGAGTGCTTCATCTCCAATGAAGAAATCAAGATCTGCCATTACCCCAGCTGAATACTGAGCTAACCAATTTGCTTTTGAAGAAGTTCTGGATTGATTTAGAAACGACTCGTTTACTGCTACTACTGTTGGTTGAATAAAACACGGCTCTACATTACCCGCAAATCCCATCTTAGTATACCTGCAACAAAGAAAAATAAAAGACGACCAATTTGACAAACAAGAAAGAAAATGGTCTGAAATGAAATAAATGGGGAATTTCATCAAACAGGTTGTGAGCAAAAGCTATTGCAGTTACGATAATGGAAGACCAACCGTACCCGGTGCCGTTGTCGATGACGACAGCAGGGCGAGAAGTGGGATCCATCGGGAAGAAAAACAAAGGCTAGGGAGTTGTTTTTGTTGTCGTGATGGTGGCGGTGAGGGTGGATCTGCGAGCGAGATCCAAGAGAGATTCGTGGGGAAGGGATCATGGTCATGAAGCGCGCTTGAAGAAGCGCAAATAAGGAGAAGCGAACTCCCCCGACGGTATTGACTCGACACCAACAATAAACTTGGATCCCAACCGAAAGCAGCGACGTTTCAACGGTTGTAGCTTCTTGGAATAATAGCTGTCGTTGGCGATATCCAAACTCGGTAATCCAATAATGAAACCCATTTCAAAACTCCATCCGACGAAAAATTCTCATCAATTTCATCATCATTTTACCATCAAAATCATATTCCCTCCCTCTCTCTCTTTCTCTCTCTCGATACTTTTCTTAGCAATCAAACTATAGAAAGAAAGACAACACGACAACCTTCCTTTCCCCTTTTTTTTTTTTAATCCGTTTTTTTTTTTCTTTTGGCCTTTCTTCTTTTAAGCTTGGAGGTACGGCTTCGTCAAATTTGACGAACAGCAGTAACAATTGTTTTTACATATATAATAATGATATGACGGTGACTCTGCACCGTTCGATTTCTGATTGGAGAAGTTTGGGATTTTGGGACCCACGTATTGTTTGGGATGAAAATTAGGGGAAAATTTGGGTGTCACAGTTGTACCGGGGGAAAGACAAAATTTGACAAAGGAAGGAGAAATTGGATGGTCCTGAGGGGAAGGAATAACGTGGTTTCGGAAACTGAGTATTCGAGATATGCGGTGGTGATGTCCCCTGATGTGTAGACTTTTGGGTTTCTATCATGGGACCTAGTGACTTAAGGACCATGAGATTTTTTCCAGCTTAACAATGTAAGTCTTCGGTGTTTCGGTGCATCATTCTTGGTGAGCTTTGTTTAACTTTGAACCAATACATGACTCACACGTGCTCATTTTAATGATCCAAAACATTACCTAAATTAAATTGTTCAATAAAGCTCAATACCATGGACAATGCAACTCAAAATTAGAATATATTAAAATGGCATCATCACATTACTTCATTTGATCATTTTAAAAGTATTTATCCAAATTATTAGTAAAATATGTTTAGGTGTATAACGAGTTCATATCTAGATTTAAAAAAAAAAAATTAAATTTGAGAGATTATTAATTTTTTTTTAATAATGTTAGAAGAATCGTATATTCCTATTCATATTGAAAAAACAAAATGTTCTTACTATTTTTAACCTTAGCCATTAATCAATATTTTATTGTCCAAATGAGAGAAGTTCCTTATGAAATTAAATGAAAAAAGAGATCTTTCTTCTCAAGTATAAAAGCTTGCTTCTTGTTATTACTATAACAAGAAAAAACACATTTGTAACCAATGTGATCTTATTATGGTAAATAGTAATAATAATAAGAATAAAATAAGGTTCTAAGTCAAGCCTTATTAGGTAATGGATTTATTTCACATTTGTCTTTGATTTATTAGTTGGGTTGTCTATTTAATGCAACGTTTGTTTATAATTTGAAGTTCGAATTATACTCGTAATTTCATACAAACAATGCACATTTTGTAGTAGTGTACAAAGGTTGGACTCCATGTGACGTAAGAATGTAACCGCCGCATAAGCTGCTTTAATTTCAACATTTTTTTTTTTACACCTTGGAGACGATCCATGATCGTACGAGTTTTCTTTGTCCTTTTTGTTTTTAAGTTATTAAAACCAAAAACAAAAAAGGTGAACTACCTCCTCCTATGATCCTGTCCTAACCCTTTGCCCTCTACATTCTTGCGATCTTTTCTGATAAAAGATTACCAATTTTTATTTTTTATTTTTTTGAAGAACACGAAGAATCCAAAGTTAATAATGCAACTCTCCTTTGCCCCCTTCAAAATAATAAGGAAGAGGGCAGGCAGCATCTCAATCTGCACCTCGCTCAGCTGCACGTTAACTCGACTAAGGCACGTGCCACGTGTTTCGGCGACCTGGGCTCATGTGGCTGCAGACCAGTCGGTGGTTGGTTGCCATCTTTCTTTCTTTGTTTTCTTATTTAAACATAGGACATTTCCCATCATGGTTCAGACTTTCAGATTCACCTACCAACGGGACCCATCATATCTTGTTTTATCACAATTAACCTTAGAAAAATATATATTTTGTTTTCGACCACCGTAAATTCAATGGTTGCACTCTGATGAATATTTACCGTGAGAACGGTTGCCTGCAACAGATTAAATGATCCCATTTCAAGTAACGAGACCTACTCTGTTATGTTTTATGTATGTCTTTTTTTCATTTCCCAAACATAAACGTTGTGAGCATGATGAAAATGATGGTTGGATGCTTGAATTATCCCAAGAATGAGTAGCAAAATGATTATATCACATTATTACTACCCTGTCTGTCACCTACTTAATCATTTTTTACTTTGTCGTTTATCTCCGCGGAAATACGAGGTTCTCTTGGTCAATGGCTTTATGCTTTACCCTTAGAGAAAAAGAAAAGCAAAATGTCTTTCCTTAACCAGTCATGTCTACTAATGTGATTGTGAATCAAAGGAAGGGTATAGTTTGTCGACCAGCTTGAATTTTGTTTGGTTATTGGTTGTAGGATTTATGTCAGGGCAAGAAAAGAGTCTCCGGATCCAGTATGATAAAGATAGTTCAACCCACAGCAGTCACGGGCGCTTTCAATTGAGGGCGAAGTTCCACAAATTCATGGTGTTAGAAAAGAAAGGGCATAATGTGCCTATAAAATATAATTGCATGTCTTCTCTCTTCTTCTACCTGGCTTTTGATAAATATTGATTGTGATACATTATTTTATCAAATGTTCCATGCTTTTGCTCAATGCCTAAATCCCAACAATACATTTTTTTTTCATTTGTTTTACGTATAATTACAGTTTTAATATGTTCCAAAACATAATTATTGACCCTAATCTTTCTCCTTTTCTTACAAGATAAGAGTAGCAAAAGAAAGCAGCTTTGATCATTGATAAATATTAATTGCAATTTTTTTATTTATGGAAAATTCCTCTTTGTAAATTTATTTATATACAAATTCCAAGCAAAGCTTATAGAGCAGGGAGTCAGATAAGCTGGGAAGTCAACTCAAACGTCCACATCTCTCTTTTATATTTGTAGTCTGCGGATGAAATTTTTTTGTTTCTGAGATGGGGCTTTCATGGGAGCGGGCCAGTGTGCTGATGAATGAGCAGTGAGAGCCCCAGAGCTTGAGAAACAAGGGCAGTAGTCTCGGTAAGTAAGTAGGCCTTGACGCTGCTAAAGGCTGAAACTGATAAAGAAAAACTTCAATGAAGCTGTTGAATTTACCAGTTTTTACCACTGCCCAAGAGAGACTAAGCAGTTTTAAGCGGCAGCGACCACAGACTTTCTAAGAAATCCAGTTTCAGAGCAAAGCATTTAGATGGAAAAACCAAGGTCAAAAAGCGCCAAAAGGGGGTCTATTGCCCATCAAGCAGGTTGGTCACATACAGAAATCTGTGTCTCAGTGCTCACTGCTGCTCTGTTACGGGCATCAAAATCCCATCGTTCGCTAATCGCTTTCATGAAGCGGGCGGAATCACCACAACACCCCTAATAAACATCGCAATCATGGTTAACAAATGCGGAAAATAGGGACAAAAGCGTCATTATAGGGATGAACAGGCCATGACCCAACGGACAAAGACTTCCCCACCCCTCCCCGTCTTCAATCACCAAAAAATGCGCACGTTAGCTGTCTCCCCCATAATGATCATCACATTCAACCCCCCCAAAAAGGCACACCAAATCATAAAACACAAAAATAAGAATTTCCTTCAATTTCTTTTTTCTTTAAAGAGAAAAGCTTAGTGAGAAGAAGAGAAGAAAAGAATTGCCAAAACGCATTTATATTGATAGTGGGGATTTTAATGGTGTTTAGCTTAACCTACGCATCGAGGCCTCACTGGCTCCTATACTGAAATCACTGACCACTGCCTTAAATGGGTCTCTGTGCGCACTGCACCTCTTCTTTATAACTTCTCGTAACTGCCCCCTTTTCTTTCCCTCTCTCTCTCTCTGACTCTTTTCTTCTTTTCTTTTTTTTTTTCCCTTCTCTAATCTCCGTTTCTATGTCATTTCGAAAACGTTTCATTTCGAGCTCCGATCGGGTCTCGCAGTCCATCGGATCCGGCCCGACTATTCTCCAATCGGAGCTCCAACTCCAGCTTTGCTGCGGCTCTTCTTCGTCTCTGGCATTTATCTGAATCTGATCCGATGTCATTTTGGTGAATGTAAAATTTGGTTATTGGTTTTAACTCAATAGAGATGAATCCTCTGTGCTGCATTGCTCCTGTATCCATCGATCGTGACCGGGCCAACCCGGTGGTTGCCAAATCGGGGCCTCAATGCCAGCTAAGCATGGAAACTTCCATCAGAACTGTTAACTACTCTTCCAAACCGAGCTTCTCCTCTCAAGTCTCCTCCATCAACGCCGACACTGACAAATCCTCGCCTTCGGTGACGAATCACCCCTCGGCGGCCTTATGCGACGAGCCAATCATCGGCGAAGGCACTGCAGTCCACGGTGTCGCTGGGATCCTGTACAAATGGGTGAATTACGGCAAAGGATGGAGGTCGCGGTGGTTCGCGTTAGAAGACGGAGTTCTCTCGTATTATAAGGTTCACGGACCTGATAAGATTTTAATGAGTCCCGCAAGGGAGAAGAGTGTTCGAGTGATCGGCGAGGACTCGGTACGGTATATGAGGAAAGCTAACTGGAGTAGCAATCGGGTTAACTCGGCGGTAACTCGGTGCAAGCCGTTTGGTGAAATTCATTTGAAGGTTGTTTTGCTTTCTTCCTTGCTTTTATTACTCAGTTCAGTTCCGCGTTTTTCGTTATTTTTTGTTGCCGTGGCAAAAAGGCCGCTTCTTTTGGTATTTTAAAAGGAAAAGAAAATATCCGGACGATAAACTTTTTTTTTTCTTTTGAAAATTTTTAAACTTAAATGTGTGCTTATGGTATTGATGCTTGCATGCTTAGAAATTCAATACTGCTAAATTATTTAGTATTAGTTTCTTCCTTAGTACTTTCCCAATACGGAGCCACTTGGGAGGACCCATCAAAACTGGGAGAGGCCGTGAAAGCTTGGAGAATTTTGGGGGAAGGGAAGAAGTCTTTTTAGGTTCATTTTTTAAAAAAATATTTGTGCTGCATGTTTTAATTTGGGAGTATTTGTTTCTGTGAAAAACTGTTTATATGGATTCTAATATTAAGATTACCAAATCGTGGAGAAAGTTTATAGAGTACACTAGCCTTTCACACGGTTCTTTTGTCCATTGGTGTGGCAATGAACCATCCAAATGCAATTTCGGACGCTTCCTTGCAGTTGCACTACTCTGGATGCACGCTTTGGAAAAAGCCCCAGTAAGAGAGTACGCTCGATACAACATGTTTTACAAAGATGCCCATCAGAACTAAAACACACTTCAATAGATGGAAAGCCA